AGATTAATATAATTTTCAGTATGATTAAAATTTATTGTCTAAAATAAATGTTGAATATCTTTAGAAGAAGATTTAGCAAAGAAATTAGTAATTAACTGAAACATTGTGAACATAATTTAAAATGTAATATTTATTTAAAAATAAATAAATTGATGAATAAAAGAAGAAAGACAAGAAGAACTTTTTATAACTTTTATAATTTATATAATTATTATTAATTTTATTTTTTATTGTTTTTTTTTAATCTTATTTGATTTTAGATTTATCATTGTTGAACAATAAATTTTTAAAATCACTTAAGTCTAGACATTTTTTTGACAATATTAGAATACTTAAGACATAGAAGTAATAATAATTTAATTATTAACAAAAATCATTAGATTTTAGTATTATCTAAAATAGTATTATGTAACAATATCATAACAACCACATAACCAAATCTGATCAAAATTATTTTATTTTTTATTCTATAAATTATAGAATCAAAAGAAAACAATTTGATCAGATTTTTAGTTATGTAATTGTTATAATATCACTAATGTTATTTTAGATGCTATTAAAAAATCTGATAGCTTTAAACTAATCCAAAAAGAGTAATTGTAAAATTTTGAAAAACTCTGATTAGACCATAATAAAAATAATTAATATTAATTATTTTTATTACAGTCTAATAAGAGTTTTTTAAAACTTTACAATTACTCTTTTTGAATTAATTTGATAAGCAAACTTATTATTGCTTAACAGGCATGAATGTTCACTTATATCTTGCATGTATTATTACTATATTTTTTTTATTAGTTTGTTAGAATTAAAAAGAAACCCCCTATTTTATATCGGACCTATGCATAGACAAGAGCAATAATTCTTCTAATAAATTGTAATCAATTGCATAGCATGCAGGGCTTAAAATCTTATAGTAATTTGCCGGCCTGCAGCCTATTGTCTGATGTGTTTTTCTTGATTCATCTTATTGTTTTACTATACCAGCCAATTATACTATAGATCAAGAATGATATTTTTGAATGGCCGGCATTTCAATATAGTCGTTTAAGCCATGATAGCATGTAATCATATTTATAATTGACGTTCGAAAATTAATGTTGCATCTATCGGTATGCTATAACAGAGAAAGTGCCCGATCCAAAGTGAATCCCTCTCGCCTGTGATCAATCACAAAATAAATTATTTATGTTGGATTCAATTGTGATGGATATAATCCCTCACCAGCAGGGTTGGCAATGGAGCTCAATGGAGCTGCGAATGGAGCCAATGGAGCTCTGAATGGAGCCAATGGATACTAGTGTTTTGAGCTCCATTCGTGTAACTATTGAGCTCCATTGGCTTCATTGCCAACCCTGCTCACCAGTTTTAATATGTGTAACATTAACGGTCTCTGCTGTATCGATATGCACATTGCTCTCAATTTGGTAAATGGCATATGATTTGAAGTCGACTCAGAGTCGACTTTAAATGACTAGACTCTAACCAACTCAAAAACCGACTAAACCGAGCTGATTAACATCCCTACCTGGCACGCATGAATTTATTAAGTGTGCCATAGGCGTGCGTGTCAAATGGCATGTCTATGCCACTTTTTACTAAGTTTTTTTTGTCTGCTGTTGTGGCATGCCAGGTTCCCTACCAACAATGCACTATTGCAGTGCGTTTAGATTACACAATGATTAATGTATGTAGGGATAGCTGTCATGCTATATCCGATAGCGAGTCTCATTTGAGTGTAACGTGATATTATCAGGGAAGCAAAACATTCATTTTTGATACTTCTGCACCTACTTTTTTGATACATCCCTAAAGTTTTTATACTACAGTTAGACCTTAATATAATCTCCAGGCCGGGAAACAAAAAATTGGTGATTATAAAAAGTTGACTATATGAAGGCCAAAATTTATATGTTTTATATAAGCTAAACAGGGTGATTATATCAAGGTTGTGACTATATCAAGAGTGACTATAACGAGATCTGACTGTATTTACTAACTTTATTTTAGGGTATGTTTAGATGTATCAAAAAAGTAGGTGTAGGAGTTATTTTATGTTTTGTTTTTGATTCTGTTATTTGAGTGTGACGTGTCGGATTAACAGGATTTGAGTTATCTTTTTATCAACACCATAGATGGATCTCTTTCTTGTGACACCGCTAATGTGGGAAAAGTTCGTCTGAATGATTAAATACTATCAGGTAACTCGACCTAATCATTATGAATATTTTCAATGAGTTAATATGCAAAATTATGTAGGCTGGTACGTACGTGCGTTTCCCCGAAATTTAATAAAATATTTCATGATAAAACATATTTTTATTGTTTTTAATATAATACTATAATTTTAAATTTTTGGGGAAACTTGTATGCCGAGCTTAAATGAATATTTCGGTTAAAAATTGAAATCATACATATTTCTAAATTGTGTCATTTAAACAGTGGGTATGTATTTAGGACTAAAAGCCCATGGACTTGGGTGAACTTTTTACCTTGTTTAGTTATTCAATATTCTGTTTGCTTTTCTTGACTGGATACATGTGTAGTCAATATTAATAAAATTTGCGGTATTACGAATAGTAGTGGTGTATGGTTTAGTAAAGTAGTGGAGTATACTGCAAAAATCACATTTGAGTATATAAATTTAGCATATTATATTCATAAAATATTATATATGAAATAGTCTGAAATAATACTATCGACTATGGCTGGAAGGACACTGATATTTTTCATCATTTGAAGGTCTAAAAAAGGCATCGTCGAAAGAATGTAAATGATTATCATCATTTGGAGGTCTAAGAGCATCTTTTTGATTATCGGCTGTGACCTGGAAGAGCATAGATTGCATTAATGCCCGCCATCATTTGAAAGTCTAAAAAAAAGCACCTTTTTGATATCGGCTATGATCTGAAAGAACACTATCGATTATGACTGGAAGAACATAAATTACACTAATGTCTGCCGTCGTTTGAAGGTCTAAAAAAGCATTTATGTAACATTTGTTAGAAATTGGCTATCAATTAATTGGGTTCAAATAACTGGATTTATAAACGAATCTCCCTTCAATCATGAACCAAATTAACACAAATAAATAATTAAAACGAAACCATAAAAGGTTGTAGAGTTCTAAAAATATACTCACGAGTTAAATAACGAAAAGAACCAGTACACAAATACAGCTCACCTTTGTTAGAGTGAACTCTTAATACAGTATAATAGAATTAATTATATAATATTTTCGAGCCTATAGGTTTCAATTAATGATGCCGTAGAATCGTCCTAATGATGTTACGACTTAAGACGTAACTAATAGTTACGGCATCACAAGTTTCACTAATATGTTGTTTTTTTGTATTTCTACATATGAGCCACCTTTATGCATATGAATAACAACATATGTATAAAGTTAATTTTCGTATAATGAACTGACAATTCATACGTAATAAAAATTTTTATGTTCCTTATAGAAGTAGTTTACTATTTCCGATGTCAGGCTCTAATAAAATTTTTTTTATTATACTGTTATAGAGCATAGATGCGTTCATTATAAAAAGGTTCGTTGCAAGAATAACTTCATTGGCCCATCAAAGTAAAACCAGGCGCCCTCCATTAGTGATTTAATGACCTGAGTTTATAAGTTTTAGTCTAGGTTTCTCTAACGTCATGTTTGCATAAATTTTATATACATTTGCATATTATACACCATATATTACTTTATCAGTTATCCATACTCACATGTTTGCTAATTTAGTTGTCTGGAGCGAAACGACAACTTCTACGCCCTTTGATAACTAAAAGTTCGGTTTTGATTTATTTATATTAAAAATATCAAAAAAGTAGTTTTGTCATTTTCCGGATGTCATACCATGTTTTTATATAGTAAAGTCAAAATTTTTACTAAGTAAATCGATTATATGCTACGTATTAAGTAAAGTTGTTCAGGAGGTTGAAATACATATATTCTGAAATTTATATACAAATAGAACAATTTTTACTAATATGATTTTTTTCATTTTATGTTCAAAAAAATCAATTAAATTTTTTTATAAATTTATATTTAGTGACTGTAAAAAGTAAATATCAAATAATATATAGTTATTTGGCAATCTGATCATAGTAAGATGACGGATAATAAAAATTATCCTAATTGTATAAAAATTTCAGGGTATATGTATTATTGATCTTCTGAACAACTTTACTTAGTAGCATATAATTGATTTGCTTAATAATATTTTTATTTTGCTATAGAGTACTTATTATAAATTAATTAAAAAAACAGTTATTATAAAATGCACTTATGCTCCAGACTTATACTGGTTTCCAGTTCCTAGTGTATTATACTCTACTACTTTACTACACCATACACCACTACTATTCGTATTACTCTTTATTAAGTAAAAGCGTTTAACACTTGTACGCACGATAATTTTATATACACAGAATATTCTAGATCTTCTCTTTATACGGATATGACTATTCTTTTGTCGTAATATTTTACAGTGTGTATACATATATGAGCTTTGTTAAATAACTATATATGGGAAGATATTAAAGGTTTAAAAAGTACATTTATTACTTTTTTTATTAACATTATCTGATAATAAACTTTACACTTGATAATATAATATATATAAAAGGATTTCTAATATTTTTCAGATATATTTATAAATATTATAAGGTGAATATTTGTATATGACATTTGTTAAAAATATTTATAGTTATCACATGTAATCAATTTTTATTCTTTCAGTGAATCATAAGAATTGACTAATACAATAAAAAAAATCCACTCATTATCGATCTGCTATTTCAAAAATTTTATTATTAATGTTATGTTTCTAATAAACTCTAATCTTTTTTTTTTTTTACACTATAAATGCTTTAGTAATTTACTATTTTAATTATTACTTTCTTTCATGTTGCAAATTATCATTTGTTTTACACCTAGCGTTTAGTTCATTGGTAAATATAGCAACATAAGAAAAATTAAATATGATACATCAATTTACAGGTATTGATATAGAATTGTCACAAAATATTTTAGTAATATGACAAAATTGTTCACATGTTAATTTCTCAGGTCTTAAAGACAAATTTAGATCCAATTGTTCCAAGCCTTTCATCAAACAATCTACTTCATCTGACATAAGTTTCTTGGTTAATGTTCTGAGATTAATAAAGTAAAGATTAATATATATATTATATAGTTATATAACCTCAAAATAAATATACCAACTTCAAAAGTGATTGAATTGTTTTTCGCCTTTGCCCAAAAAAATAACGAACTACCATTTCATATTGATCAATTGGTACTAATTATAAATTTAAAGATTAGTATTAATCAGTATTATTTAAAACACTAATAATCAAAAAACTTATAACTTTACCATTTAAAATAGGTTCTTTGAGAGCTATTAATTGAACCAGAACAGCATCAACCTATAGGATATATATGTAGATTTCTTTAGTTTCATATTTATGAATAATTAAAAATGAAAATTATATAAAATCTGTATACTTTCTTTTGGGCGAGGGACAAAAACACTTGAAGGTATTTGATATACCTTTTTAGCTTTACATAAACTTTGTACTAAAACAGACAAACGACTTCGCGCTGGACTAAAAGTATCTGCTACAATCCTCTTTCATAATAAATAATAATTCAAATCAGTATTAAATATTGTAATTTATAAAAGAATATTGAAAAAAAAGAATACTAACATCTCCAACTTCTTTTTGAAACATTAATGACATTGTAATATCAGAAGTTTGAAATATCCCAGATCGCTTTGATAACATCTTCATCCATTGTACAAGTAGTGGAGTTGAAATATTGAAAGGAAGATTTCCAATTACATGTAATCTGTTTTCTATATTAAAACTTATTTTAAAAAAGGAAAATTATTAAATATTTCAACAAATATAATTAAAATACCTTGGGATACTTTATTAATTTGTGCAGTTGTTAAAATTTTTTCATGATCTATCTCAAGTATGTCATCCTGAATTATCTATTTTGAAAAATAAAATTTTATTCAGAATAATAAACCTATTTCCATAAATTTTAATAGAAAATTGAATTTTTACTTTAAGCGTATTATTAGAAGCTTCTGATAATTGCTATAAATGATTTTATAACTTAATTTTCATTAAATAAATAAATAACAATACCACAATACTAATGATTAGATTTATTTTACCGTGAGAGCAGGCAAAAAACGAGCATCTTTCTCTATGACAATCATATTTGGTACACCCGTTTCTAAGATTGATCTTGTTAATAAACCAGGTCCTTGAAATAAAATTTATTTAATTTAATATAAATTTTTAATTGAAAAAAGACAAATAAGAATAAAATTATACTACCTGGGCCAACTTCAACAACAAGCAGATTATTAGAATCAATCATTGCACTTTTAACGATCTTATCTTTTCAAATAAGATGTAAAGTTTTTTTTTATAATTTATAATTTTTCGTAGATATACATGTATATTTTTTTTCGAATTTTTTAAATTACGTTAGATTTTACCTGTAATATTTTTATCCAAAATAAAATTTTGACTCAATTGGGATTGTGCAGTTAAATTATACATCTTTACTAGATCGCGAACTGATAATAATCTAGGAAGATTTTTATTCATTTTGAAACTTGAATACAGTAGTAAATTTTATGTTATTTAATTTTATTACTAATTATTATCGTTATTATAATTATTAAAATTACACACTATCACATGACATTACTTATGTGCTTATGTGATGTACATAGTATATCGCACACCCCATTGATATTGATACGTAATGTGTTAAATGAATGCTAGATTAAGAAATTACAAAAAAAATGAAAAGATTCCATTCATCATGGTACGTAAAAGAAATTGATGAACCTTATTCAGGGAGTTTCTATAGCGATAACGATAAATAGTACCAGATTTAAACGTTGCATGAATACGTATCAGTATGTACGTAATCCATAAGTTTGTAAATCATGAGATTCGTGCGTAACACGATTCATTCGCATATATCGGTAAATCTGCGGTACAGTACATATCAAATTATCTTTTTTTTTTGTATAATGACCAAATCAGAAGCATCAACAGGCAAACCACCACTTCGTACTCAACGAGAAACATGTTGGAAATTACGAGATGAATATTTTTCATGTCTCGAAGCAGTCTCGATATTTGATCCTACAAAAGTAGATACCGATGAATCAATACAAAAATTAGTTAAGAAAAGTGATTGTTGGAAGAAAAAGAGTTCTTATGAAGATGCTTGTATGACAAGTTGGGTAAGTTGTTTGTTTATCAAAGAAATTTACGGGTAAATTTATGGGTAAATTTATGGGTAAAATTTATTATAATTATATTTTTATATTAATAGATTGATTTTCCAATTTAAAATTTAAAGGTGGATTATTTTAATAAACGACGTGCATTGGAGATTAGACAACGCCAAATCTTAGCTGAAACAAAAAAACAATCAGCGGATGGAGAATCAGAAGGCAAATAAATATATCAATTCATTTTTTCATTAATAAAGAAATCATTTCTTTTATATTGAATGAATACAAAGTCAAGAATGTGTTTTAAATGAATATTCAATTGGTTATCATCTATCAGTCTGTAATGAATTTTATGAAACTATATTAAACTGTATAAAATAGTTATCACAATAATAGAATCAACATGAGCAAATAATCATTAAAGATAATATAGCTAATTAATTAATCGTTAAAATCTTCAAATAATGAAGATATTTTATTTAAAATATTGTGAAATATCCCCAAGTAAATTAACATATAACATGCTCCTTAAGCTTATCTCATCATTTATGATGTGAAGACAAAACTGGTTCAACAACGTGACACAAACCGTTCAACCTGACCTAAAAAAAGTCGGTTCAATTCCCACACATCACGGTATGAATCCTTCAAACTTAGAGAATTCGAGTCTCTATTAGTTAAATTAAAATGTAATCTGTTAACAATTGTGATCATTTAAATTGGCTACTCTAGTTGAAGCTCTACTGAATAACGTTATAAATATTTTTCCAAAAAGATGATTTTAAACAAACTGAAATAAAGATGATCATATTATCTAATTTGCTTGAGTCATTGTATACCTCATCAGACTTGTAAGAAACTCTGTCATATCTTTTGATTTAAGTTCTTCAATAGATTGATTAAATTCTTCAACCTCTGCTTTTTTTTTCTCGACCCATTTTTCTCTTTCATTGGCATTTAACGCATGATATTCACGATAAGCTTTATAAACATCAGTTGTCCAATAATATGGATTTTGATATCGACTACCAGGTAAAGTAACAAGACAAGCTTCAAAAAAGTTCGAAGGTTTTATATCATTAACATTAGGAAGGCAGGAAAGTACTTCTTCAGGAATATTATTTCGTAAATCTTCAAGACTTTTAGGATAATAATATGTTAGAAAAATATACAATTTCAAATTATATAATAAGATTTAATATTATTAATACCTTGTGGTTTTTATAGACAAACAAGGTCTGCAACATAATCTTTTGAACTCCCAAATCAAACATCGTTCAGATTTATCGACTTGAGCTCTACATACCTGGCATGTACTACCCAACTCTTTTAACCAAATATATTGTTGTTCACACATGCCTTTAGGTGGTAATAAAGAATCTAGTGAAAACATTAATAGTCTAGACTTACGCCAGATTTGTTGAGTACAACCAGAAGTGGCCCATAAAAAATTACGAAGTTTTTTACAAACTATAGTTAAAGTATAAAGATCTTTGGGTGAAAGATCTTCACATATTTCAGCCAAGATTTCTGGAGTTAAAGATAACAAAGGAAAAGTTTTCATGTTATTTAAAGTGTCACTTGAATCTTTTGTAAAAACAGGATAATTATTTTCAAAGTTCTCTTTGTTTTCCATGAAAGATAATAAAAAAAAAATTTTTGTATCGATAATAACGATAACGATAAATATTTTTTTTATATCTTACATATATTTTTAAAACTTGTAATTTATATACACATGTGAACGTCGGAGTGTTGTACCATTCTCCGAAAAATGATTGTTTTTATGTCACCTGTTGATATTTTTGTTACGTATTTTACGAGTTTTGTATTTTGCGTAGCACATTTCTTAGTTAAATACGTAATTCGAAAATTTTCAAGTTCTTTTAAAAAAACAATTATCTTTTACTCTCTCGATCTTTTCAAAGAAAGCTCTTGTTCCTTTTAGATTTTATTTAGGTATGAAAGCACTAAATACATAGATAAAAACCGTTTATTTTAACACAACAAAACTATATAAACTGTTTTTTTTTGTTGTTTTGATCAGAAATAGCATTTTCAAAATACTTTACAATGGATCCGTATAAAGATTATTTCCTGGATCCAGGCTTTTTGCCTCAGAAAGTTACCATGGCTCGACTACGCGAAATATTAGGTGAACACAATGTACATTATACGGGGAATGAAAAAAAAGCGGAACTTGTAGAATTATTTAATAAACAAATTAAACCGCTCATACCATCGTTACGAGAAAAAGAACAAGAGTTAGAGAACTATCGTATTAAAACAGAAGCAGAGCTTACCAAATCAGCAGAAAGAAAAGCTAAAACGTCACGGAAAAGCGTAGCCTCTTCGCCCGAGACACCACAAGTATAAATAAATATTTACGTGATTTTTTCAAAAAGAAAAAAAAATTTATAACGTAATAATTATTTTATATAAATAAATAATACAGACAACACCAAAACCTTCACGTTCATCGAAGAGGAACAGCAAAGGCAAAGTTAAAGCAGTTGTAAATGAAACAGAACTTTTATCAGAGGAATCAACAGATGTAGATTCAAGAACAATAAAAGTTAGATCGATTGCACCAGATTTAGTACCAGATTTAACACCTAGAATAAATGATAAAGGACGATTATATCCTGAACTTTCAAATTCAAAATCTATCAGAGAAGATAATTCTATTAATCGACGTGTTATTAAAGAAGATAATTCTACTAATCGACGTGAAGCAGTGGCATACGCATTTAGAAATCCTAATTATATGCCAACGCGACAAATTAATCGTCAACCATCACCAGAATTAATAAAATCTCAAACAAAACCACGTGGATTAAAAACAACACTTACGTTATTTTTTATAATTTTGATAATTGGTACTTATGCAAAAATCAAAATGGAACTTGGCTTTTGTGATGGATCTCCGAATGCAGCAGGCGGTGGAAATACCGAGAGTGAAAGTAAGATTTAATATTAAATAAATTTAAGTTAATTAAGTTTATTGGTTTAAATTAATTAATTAGAAGAGTATTTTAAGTTTATAATAATTTTCATAATTTATCTGGAATATTATATAGCACCCTTTTTTGAGATCACTTGTACACCTTGCCCAGATCATGCCCATTGCTCAGAGGGTAAGATCACCTCGTGTGATGAAGGATACATAGTCACATCTTCATCAATTCATTGGCTCAAACCTTTCACCAGTAGATGTACAGCTGATTTAGTGCGCGAGTATAAGATTGAAAAATATACTGAATTACTTAAAAAAATATCAGCCGAAGAAACTGGAAAGGTTGAATGTGGAAATGGCGATCGAGAAAGATTATTATTTCAGAACCTTACTATATTACTTCGTAAAAAGAAATTAGTGAGTAAATAATTTAATCTTCAGAAAGTATATAGATATTCTGATATTCATGATTAAATTATTTTTCTGTTGATAATAGCCATCTCAGGATACAGACGATAATTTTGAAAAATTTGCACAAGCTGCGTTGAAAAACTTGAGAACGGACCCTTATGTTGATGATGTTGAGATAATTGATGAAAGAGAGTAAGTTTTTTTTTTCAAGCTTGAATCTTCTTGAACCATAATACGAATTATAATTTTATTTATTTGCAATATATTTTAGGAGTTTCAATAAACTTAAATCCTCTGTTATTTCGAAGAAGCCAAAACACAATTTTCTTTGTAAAATTAAACTTTTTGGTATAGCCTGGATGGAGAGGAATTTAATGTTTGTTATTGGTTCGTATATTTATTTTTTTATTCATTTTTTATTTATATTTACTTATTTTTTATTTGATTTGATTTCTAACTCATTATCACTGTGTTTCCTTATTACTGTGTTTCATTATTACTGTTTTTAGGAACAATATTAGCTTTTGTTGCATTAGGAGGCATAGGTTATAAAGTTAGAGAAAAAATATGGGAAAACGAACAAGTGAACAAAGCTGCCGACACTGTTCTAAATACAATGAGGCAAGAACGAAGTATGATCTCAATCGAATGGCGAGAACGGGTTATGCCTCAGATCAAAAATGACTTTAAGCGTATTGAGCTATGGAAACGTGTTGAAAAATGTGTTCAAAAAAATCCTATGGTCAGAACTCGTCGTCTACAACACGAAGGACTTCATACTTATACTTGGGAATGGCTAGGTAGGGATGGTAAAGTTAGTTTAGGGCTGATTTAGGTTATAAACCCCAAAACCAGGTTTTATATAATAAATTCCAAGCATATGTTAAACCTGGTTCCCAATATTTCATAAGACATAAAAAATAAAAATATATTAATAAAAAATTAATTTATACGTATATATATATATATATGTATATATATTGATATTCTGAATAACTTAATATGCTAAAATTTATTTATTTAATAAAATTTTGATTTTTATAAGGTAATATTGAAGTTATCACGAGATCTATAAAATAAAATCTAATAATTCTTATTTGTTTCAACATGATTCGAATGTTATAAAAAACTGCATGATAAAAGTTTTTGACACTAGCAAGCGCAATTTAACATGTTTTTCTATTATAGGGTTTAACTGTTAAAATAAAATTTAATACGTATCCCTTTTACCTTATGTACGATTCATAAAAATATGTAGCGATACGTATTACAATATATTATATTATTAATAAAATTCAGTGCATACGTATCTACTTGACGCGGGTGAATGACTAAATTTGATTTTTATATGCAACTATATACTAAATTAATAAATACGTATAATAAATTGTAAATTGAATAATTGATTAATTTACTTCCACATTTTACGTCTGCACGTGTAAACGTAAGATGTGAAAGTGAATTAATGTTAATAGTAATTTATATGAAAATTTCAGGATATATAAGTACTGCCAAGGGACAACCTCAAACTGGAAATTTGATTATTTATTGTTTGCCATATTCAGCCCTAAGGAGAGACATATATGTAAGTTAAATTACGTTCCGGATCACGAGCGAGATTAACCGGTTTGAGATTTTCCCTTGGCGGCACTCATTTACTATTTTTTCTAACAATTTTACTTAACAGTTAAGGCATAAATACATATGTATGTATTAGTTGACTAAGTAAAATTTTAACATATAGCTACGATCATCGATTAAATAATAACCTTTTATATTATCAATTTTGCAAACAACCTAAATGGCCTTAATAACCTGGTCATTAAATTTTGATCAAATGACTAAGAGTAGTGTCCTATCTATGAGAGTTAAGATGAGGAATTATAAAGTTGATTCTTACGTAAAACAAATTGAATAAAATGCATTTAGTCATAAGTCGGAATGATTAATAATATAAACTCGATTAATGAATTTCGTGGGTAATTAACAAATTCATTCATTTCATTTACCATTACTCTTATGCTAACTCTGCCAGCTCTATCTTAGGATGAAATCATACAATTTTAAAGTACGTACGTACGAATAAAAAAAAATTAACTAGTGATTTTCTTTATTTTGTATCATCAAAATACAAGATACGTACGTACGTCATTGTTTTTGATATATTACGTATTCGGTAATTGTAAAAAAAGGGATTCTATCTTTTATTTTGTAAATAATAAATAAATAAATAATGGTACGTAGGCGCTAAATAGGCATATTTGAATCCAAAAACCTTTAATAAGCTTTTTTACAATAAACAGTTGCACATATCAATATTGATATGTATCAGTACGTATGTACGTACGTAGAAATAAACTTTACTATTTTTAGAAACTCATATATAGTAAAGTTCTTTAAAAATTTTATTAATAAAATATGGTTTATTTTTCAATTAATATATATATATAGTTAGGTGATTAACATAACTATGGAGTTCATCAGTACATTAATCAAATCTCTAATAGTGTCTTACACGTGAATATAAATATTTTGATAATTAATAATTATATCTATAGAGTTTGATTTCAGGGTAACGGTAAATAGATTAAATAAAAAAAAAAAATCTGTAAAATAAAAGTAAAAATAAAAAAAAAATAATAAATAATAAATTAATACTGGATTAAACAAGTTTAAAGAACTAGTTTTTTTGACATCTAAAATTTCTTGATAATCCCAAAAACCAATATTTTAATTATTCAGATTTACAAAAGATTATCCGAGTTGAGAGAAGAAAAGTCAATCCTTGTTTATAGTTACACGAATTGCATTATCGGCGGTGCAAATCGAGTACGTTACACGGTATTCTATTAATTATTTATTTTTGGTCTTCAAAGATGCGACTAAAATGTGACGTTGCCCTGCATTGTGTCATATTTGTGAACGGCTTTTGAAACCTTTCACTAGATATTGAGTTAGTTTTTTTTTTCTTTCTTTTTAATATTGGTCACATAAAACTATTATAAATTTCTGATTATGCTCTGATAAAAATTTGGCCAGTTCTTTTTATGGACAACTCGGATGGCCAGAAAGATAATCTGGGCAATGTTGCTGAAGAGAAAGTAGTTTCATGTAAAAACGAACTTGAAAATATAAAGGAAGTTGTTAAGGGGACTGAAGGAAAGAACTCGACTACTAGTAATACTTACTCATTAATAGAAACAACTTCAATGCAAAAAGAAATTATGGGTGACACCAGTCAAAGTAGCACGACAGAATTTCCAGCAAAAGTGGGTGGCGAACCCGGGTCGCTCGAACTACAAAGACAGGATACTGTTTCTTTTTCTCCTAAAAATAGTAGTATAGACCCACTTATGTCTATTTCTGACTCTACTTCTGATCCATATAAACCAATTAATATGTTTTTTAAGCATGAAAATCATATAGCTTCAGATTTACAACTTTCCTATCATTTAGATTCTAATCCTGAAATAAACCCCCTTTCTGTGATCTCTGAGGAGGGAATGATGACTGAAAAAGATTTTTCCGGTCCTTCCGGAAAACCTATACCTTTAAATATATTATCTTCTAGCATAAACCCTTCTGATATTGTAACTCCAAAGCAAATCGTTCGAATAGAAAGAGATTATACTCGTGGTGAAATGTGTCAATTTCAATCTGCTTTTCCATTAGAGATTGATGGACGGGTAACTTTTTTTATTAATAATCTTGATTTAAATATTTGTCTTTATTAAATTTTATTTTTATTTACTATATTTCTTCATACATATACATATACATATACATGTATATATTATACACACATATATATATTTATATATATTTATATTTATATATTTATATATATACATTTATTTTTTGATTTTATAGGTAACTCCAAGACAATTTCAACAAACAATCAATAGGTTAAATGAACTTTTGGTAAACGCTTTAAATCCAAAGTATAATTGGTTTGATAACTGTTTAGCATGTGTAACAATATACGTATCAACTCTATGTATGCGTTCACATTATGAGAAAGTAAGTTGAATTGAAGTATAATAATATGATTATAATAAATGTTTGTTTATATATTAAACTTTTTTTAATATAGACAATTGAAGAAATATGCGTATTTTTAGACAATGAAAATTTGACCTTATACAACTTAAACGGTTTAAATTTTCGTGATCCAAGAAAATCATCCTTTTTATTTGTATCCTTCTTTTTTATCAATGACATATTAATCTTCGAATTTAGTTCTACCAAATAATATACTAAATAATATACTAAATTATATAATTATTATTATTATTATTAACTCTTTATATCTTACAGCTTGAACTTGAATTATATTAATAGCATTAATCTTCTTAAAATTGAAAAAAAGTGAAAAAAAGTCAATTATTTATTTCTCAGTTATAACAAATATATATATGTTGTTTAGATTAGCAATAATATAAATGTGTTAACTAATGAATTATCGTTTTTCTTGTATTTATTTTTATTTTATTTTACTTTATTTATTTATTTTTTTTTTCTTTTAAAATGGACATTTATCGTAATTTGTAAAATATAAAATAATTATTTGTTAATTGAATGTTCTAAAAATATCAACATGAAAAGTTTATATTGTATAAACCAGTTTTAATTATAGTTAAAACTTATTCAATCTTTCTTATTACATACTTTCTCAATATTGATCATAACATAATCTTTTATATATTGTATTTTATTTTAAGGTCAATCCTAAATTATCAAGTTATACAAGTAATAAGTAATCAATATTCAAAAAAAAAGGTCTAAAATAGATCCTAATTATTAAGCAATATTAATTAGGAAAATGCTATATTTACAAATCAAACTTATATAGTTTAGTATTAAGGAAATAAATTATTTTACAGAACAATTTCCTAATTAGGTCCATGCAAAGTTAATTCTTTTATAATCCGGCCAGATCTGTTTTAAAAAAAAATTTATTATAAAAAAAAAAACAAAAGTTTTTATATTTTCTATATAAAAAAAAACCAGCCGGGAGAATCACATTTAAAATTCATACATGTGAAACAATTAACATTGTATGACCTAAAGGAATCAAAGAATAAAAAAGAAAAAACTATAAATACAGAAATATATGTAAACATATATATTAAATTCAAATCAAGTCAATTGTTTAAAAAGATCTTAAATAATTCCATTTCGTTGTTGTTACACAATAGTCCTTTAAAAATTATGGTAATGCAATGTTCACCTATTTACGAGGTAATATAATGCTATCAGTAGGTAATTCTACTTCATTATCTCCATCAGGTGAAAAGAAAAAGTTTCCATCTTTTTCGCTTATATTATTTACTCTATAATCTGATTCTTCAGTATTATCACTGTATGTGGTCTCTGATGCCACAGAAGATGATGATGTCGACTGAGTACCAGATGAATGTAATTGTTGGGTCAATGTAGCATTGTTTGAAAATCCCAATGAAACATTGCTTTTATTGTTCAATGTTGTGAATTTTGATGTTGCTGTAGTGGAAATGTTATTTGCAATATGGATATGGTATGCATCCTCAAAAGATAAGGGTGTTGTAGCTAAATGTTGATTAAATAAAGATTTAAAATAAATTATTTAAATGAAATCATTTAAATGTAATTATTTAAATGTAATTAATTAAATGCAACTAATTAAATGCAATTAATTAAATAAAATTAATTAAATGCAATTAATATCCAAAATATAAAATTGTAACTTTTGTAACTTACACGTATTATCCGTAATCTTTGAACTTGTATAACCATTAGAGATGCCGTTTGACATACGATCTCTGGATTTAATGTTAACAGCAGAAAGTGTTGGGCTAGATGGTGTAAAATCAAGTGATGTACACATTGCTGTTGATAGATTTGCTGACATGTCTCCAGTACTTTTACCAATAGCTTTACCAGCTGGAATAAGAACCGCTTTACCGGTTCTGATATCATTTCGATATTTATTAATACCTTCTTCATTATTCATTAATCCATTAAATCCATCTAATTCATCACTTGTTTCTATTCTTTCTACAATATCCCTTCGTATTTCTATCTTTTTGGAACGAGGTACTTCTCCTTTGTTTATAGCATCTTTGTAACCAGGCAAAAATGTTTGAAAAGTAAATTGTGGTGTTGCCCACAAAGATGGTGGTAAGGATACTTTTGAATTGGTATAAGTTACAATTTCTGCATTAGCAAGCCATTTTTTTTTATCACTTTCTTTTTTAGTTATGGTTTCGTTTTCAATATTATATTGTTTTGGTGCTTCAATAACATTTTTCACTTCTGCCCAAGTAGTATCACGAATTAATTGCCATTCAGCAACATCTTCATAACTAATAATCATATCTAATGAATTTGTTTTTTTCCTAACAGCTCCAGTTGCTATTTCCATTCCCATGCCTACAACACCTGCTGCACTACCGACCAACGCTCTACCAACATTAGCAACTGCCGCTACATTTCCTGCTAATGGTGTACCACCAATAGTAATTATATTATTACCATTATTTGCATCATCTTTGGTTCCTTGATTAGGTGTTTGATCGGGTGTTACTCCCTCAACCCACACACGATGTAATGTCAATATGCCAGCAGGATGAAAACTCCATAGATCTTGATAACCAATATCATATTTATTACTATGTGTCTCAAATTCAATATAATTGGATGTGTTGCCTGAAGTATAATTTTGAGACCATGAATGTGATCTCCTGCGACCAGTTTTTCCATTATTGGAAGTGCCTTCTGGCATAAAATTTAGTGGTGTTCGTTTTTTATTTTGTCTTCTTGCATGTAAATTTGCAACTAACAATACATTATTTGTGTTTGAACTTGATATAGAACAATTAGATACAGAAGGTAAAAATTTGACACAAATTCCTAGAGGTTTCCTTTGGTAATAATTTGGAATTACAGATGACAATGCGTTATAATGTAACATAGGATGCTGTTGTACTGCGTACTGTGTATAAAGACCGTTTGAATTTCCACGGTGTAATTGACTTGGTTGTGGTTGATCAATAAGGATTGGATTTGTTTCTGTAGATGGAAAGGAATATTCATAATTATTAAGGTGCACATTTGTATCCTGTAAAGTGCCACCAATAACATTAGTAGGATCTGAAGGCAGAGGTGTACGAGGCTTAATGCGAATCACAGCTGGTTGAGTAGTTAATTTATGCTATGATTAAATTTAAAACAGTTAGCTTGAAATTAATAATTCTAATGTAATAATACCATAATATACATAATATAAAAACTTTCAATTTACCGATTCATCTACATTATTAACCCATCCTGCAATATGAGAAGGTACATGAGCAGGACCGCCATAAGGATTGATCGCAAATAAATGAATAGTTCCACGACCACTAGTTACAGCACACCATCTAGAGTCATCACTCCAACCCACACCTCCATCTCCAATAATAGCATTCGTATAACCCCTCGATAGTTGATACACATGTTTCAAACTTTTGCTGTTTCTACTTCGACGACGTTTACCAATAATTTCAAACACATGAAATTGATGACCTTGAACTGATGTCGAAAGCAAAAATGTTCCTGATGGACTGAATGATAAATACCCAACAGGATTGGTGTGTGGTGAAAAATAAATAATAATATTTGACTGCTTTTTTTGTTCATCACATGCTATACCAAGATCGCGTATGATTACCTGTTTACATAAATGATAAGTTGATAGGTTTCTAAATAAACACTCAATTATTAGCATCAAACATAGTCACCTACCGCTCCAACAGCTCCATTCTCTTTGCCATTCTCAAAACTACCTGCAATACCATTTAAATTTATGCCATTATTACTTTCCACATTATTATTTCCAACCCTTGGATTGTAATAATATCCATTAGATGGACTAGTCTGTGTTGGAAACCCATGTCCCATCACATCGGAGTGATTGTTGATATTTATAGGCATAGTAGGTTGTGGTTTTATTGATGTAGGATTCTGTAGATTTTGGTTATTAAAGTACGAAGAAAGTGTCTGGTATCCGTAATCGCCTATATTAAAGTCATAAAATAAAAAGTTAATATCAATAAAAGTATTAAACTTTTGACTTATCAATTAACATACCTAACAATTTTACACCATTAACAACTTCTTTTGCAACACCCTTGGCAACTTTATATTTTTTGCTGGTTGCCTTAGTATCCTCATCGCTATCACTCATCACGTAGCCATCTTTTTTACCATTATTTTCTGGTGGATGGCTCGTTGTTGCATAAGCCAACAATCGAGGCCCTAAGGCGAATACCGGAGCCCGGGTAGAAGGATGTGCTGCAACATCTTGCAACGGTGAAAAAGGCAATGACACCAGAGTTGAAGACGAAATAACATGAAGCTTTGCCGGATTAACAAGACTCTGAAAAATGGTCGGATTTAGTAATGATTTTGTAAAATAAATAAAATAAAATAAATAATAAAAAATAAATTTATAGAAAATTCGGATATAATACCACAACAATGACTCGTTCATTACAATTTAAGCTTATTATATTGCAATCATTCTCAAATTCCATTGATTTGATTATTTGATGTGTTTTTAATGAAAAAAAATTTAACACACTTTTGGATTTTGGGAATGTATCGTTTTCTCGTGGTGATGTCAATATACAACTGTGAAAAAGTAAAGATCGATTTAAATAAAATGGTTTAACAATAAAGTTTGAAAATTAAGTAACTTACACTATTCCAATTAATGGACGAACTTCTGCATACTTATCAAGAACATCTTTAGATGTCTGACTTGGATTAGGTATTGGCTGTATGAATTGAAGAATAATGTAAATTAAATTTACTTATTTCGAAGATAAAGAATATAACACGAGATACTCACCTTTATGCATATAACTCGACCAAGATTTTCTTCATCTCTAATTGATATAATTTCATGAATATTATCAGCACTTGATATATCCCATATCTGGAATCCGTCAGGATATCCCAAAAAAAGAACGGATTGACTATTAGAGCGAAAAAAAAAAAATTGTCGATGAAAATAATTTCAAAGTTGTATCATAAATCAAAATTTCTGATTTTATACTTTTTCGCGCTTTTATAAGCATCATTAGAACATGTCAAAATTTCATCGAATGCCGCATATGTGATCACGTCCCGTTTTTTCTCAAAAAGTCCGTCAGGCATGGAATCCATATCGCCGGCAAATTGATGTGATAAATGGCCTTTATGATAATTTATTGGCGCTTTAAAGTCATTTGTAGGATTTGTAGCAGTCTTACGTAACGAGGTAAGAGAAGTTGGAAGAGAATAAGCTACATAAGAGGACAACTCATATATAGCTGACGAAATTGATTCCAAGGCAGAAGGATCTCTATTAAAAAAATAAAAGAGGTTAGACGTTTTGAGTATATTTTCCCGAATAAAATTATGTGTTCTACCTCAAAAATTTAGGGTCGGCCTTGACACCACTGACATTAGTAGGTTGAGGAAGAGAAGACATTATTATACTTGTTTATAGATAATAATGAAATAAAGAATGATAAAATAAACAGTATAAATAAAACGTATTTTTGATATATTAAATATGGAATTATAGTATTTTTTTTCTATTTATGATTTTATTTAGGAAAATGTTCTACAATAAAATAAAAAAAGAAAGACTAATATCGGTTGAATAAAGATTTAATTTGTAAAACGTAATCTTCGAGGGATTAAGAGTAAAAAATACTACATACAAGTTACAATGCTATCGCTATATATGTATGTTATATGTATATAATGACGATACCTCTGTAACCTAAAAATTAAATTAAAAATATCGATATTAAAACGGTTAAAGGTTTTTTTGACAAGGTATTATAGAGCAAATCAAGTTTATGTATGCACAAACGTTGAAAATTTATTTAATACATACCGATACGTACGTACGTGCGTATACTCTTATACACATTTTGTTTTTATTTGTGTTACTAATAATACTAATAACTACTTTTTTTATAAATTTATATATATAGCTTACATAGTACATGAACGCATTTATGGAATTGATATTAGGGTTTGTTTTTTTTAAACTTTAGAATTAAATAATTTTTACCTATAATTTTTTAAAAAATAATTTTGTTCTTACTACTTGTAAGTTGAGTTTTACTATAAAAAGAGGTGTTCTGATTAGTCTTTAAACTTCTTGCAAATTACTTGTCTTAAGATGCATTGAAGTATATAGGTTTTCAATTATTTGCCTAATATTTATTTGTCTGACAATTACTTTTCTGGCAGCCATTTTTCTAACAATTACTTGCCTAATACTTTTAGTTTTTTGACAATTACTTGTTTAACATTTTATTTTACTAATAAATATTTTTTTAATATTTTAAAAATGTTAAGCAAGTGATTGTTAGATAAATAAAAATGTTAGATAAGTAATTATCAGAAAAATAGTTGTTAAAAAAGTAATTGTTAGGCAAATAGTTGTCAAAAAAGTAATTGTTAAATAAATAATTAGAATTTAAAATATACATGTTTATTAAAATTAATGTTTATAAAAGCATAATTAAAAATCTATTTAATTGGCTAATTATCAAAAAAAATTTATTATGCTTAAATAAGAAAAAGTATATTTTTGCTTATATGCAAATTAGGTTACATTGTATATTAATCATTTACAAAACTTTACAACTGTCTTGGCAGTTTATTTGTTTACTTGTTTTTAAATTTAATTTGATATAATTAGATTTAATAAAAAATTTTATTCTTTTTCAAAAAACAGAACCTTTTATATTTAACTAAATTTTATATATATTCACAATTTGAAACTAAGAAGTTAAATGTATATTCGATCTTCTATTTTATATCTACTAGAAACAATTAGAATAACTTAACTTAGTATTGTATATTTTTTACTATTCAAAGCTTTTTTGATTATATTCAATGTTTAAGTATCCAAGAGAGTTCAAAGTATGTTCAAGTTCTAATAATTAATAAATTTGTCTTAAAAATATATGATTATATAATTTTTTTAGGTTCCGAATATGTTTATTTTTAATATTAAGATGACCTCTTTGGTCTTTTAACTTTATTAATACTTTTAGATAACATAGTTCTATAAAAACTATTACAAATAAGTTTCATTCTTGTAAAAAATTTGTAAATTGGCTCTGGCCTGTGTCAACTCTCATAGTTGCCCAAAACAAATTAATA